TATCCAAACTTTTCTATAGAGAGTTTAATATGAAAACCAAACTTAACTCTGCAATTACACCATATTAAGTGGTTGGTCAATATAGGCGGAGTCATAATAAACGAATTCCACTGTATTAATCCTCAAAAACTAAATGAGATATTTCGTGAGAGTCGATCCAGTAGAACTTGGAAAAGCTGGCATTTTCTCTAGTAATAAGGTGTCTTAATCACAATTACAATTTAAATTTATCAAGTAATATTAAAAACAACGTCCAATTTTTTTACGAGGGGATATGTTGCGATATTATTAGCATCAAATGGGGACATTTCTTAAACATCTAAAAATTAAACAGTACAAACATGTTACTGATTGTATGTTTGCTTTCCGGTGTGAAAATGTTATCAAATTAATTAAACAACTTTGTTTTGCGAAGCTATCGTAGACCCTACAAAAGTTTTAGGGCTCTGTTGTGCTCAACAAATCTATCGAGTAGCTAGCTATCGTGCTTTAGATCCATTTAATAACAAAAGCTTAGAGTCCGAAAAGGAACTTTTTGTTTATTTGTCCCAGATTCCTTACGGATTGAATGTTTATCCTTTGAAACTTTCGTCGAACTCGGAAAATCTAATTGCAACCAATTTTAACTGATATACATTGATTTTTATCTAATTTGATGAATTCCTAATATCCAGATCTATGTACCAATTTACTGACAAGAAGACGGTAAATCCTTGCGGTATTGGAGTATTCCAATTGGAATTTGGTTTTACCTATATGCACAGTCTATTCCAATTTGTCAGAATTGTGACCTTGAAGAAATCTGCGCGAAGATAAAAGAATACACCTAGGCGTGAGCAAGACAGAAATAGTTGCAACAAGCTTGAACAAGCAGAGTTCTCGATAGGCGGTCTTAGGAGATCAGCTAGAACTGTATAGTACTAGAAGAAAATGTTTAGCAATTTCTTAAAACAAAAATGTATATAAATTAACAATAGAAAATAAAGCAAAAGTTTTATAGGTGTGTAGAATGTTAAGTTAATTCACTTGTTATTATTTTTGGCTAAATATGCTTTTAAATAAAACATATTCTTAAATTTTAACGAGGCAGTTTAAATAGTTTTGCAAATGGTACTGGTAGTAGTTTACACTTTTATCTAGTTCTCGCTCGATGATCGGTGGAGAAATGAGCTCCGCAGACAAATATGATTGAATTTGGAATTATGCTACGGCGCATCCTAATAAAGGGAAGGGGGCATATCTCCAACTTCTTGAAACGAACAGTAACTGTGACACTCAATAAAATAAAACTATTCAAGTGTTGGTCGGACTGAGTTGGACGCTCACACTCATTCTTTTCTATGCTGAATGAATCTTTGTATTGCCCAAGAACTTGAACATCCTATAGTTGATACGATCAAAATTGACATAGTCCGCAATAAATTATCTGTGAGAGTGAACGTATCTTGTTTTTTGTTTTCACGTGAAGGGACTTTGGTCATTTGGTGTGTCTTGAACACGCCCTTGTTAAGTTAGGAAATGCTTCATAAGTAGTACAGATAAAGTGAAAATAGATAACCGAATAATAGTAAGCGATGCAACGGTTAGAGATTGCTCAGATACGCGAAAGATCACGATCGGCTTTCCTTAAGGACGTTTGAGAGGTACAATCGGAGACAAGAGTACATAAAATTAGAAATTCGTGATTAATTAGGTTTTGCAGCATATCATGAGGTAAATAAATACTATCTATACTAAAAAAAACTATACGGTTTGAGAGAAAATTTGGAATTTGACCAAAAACTTTGAATAAAATAAGGAATAACGAATAATATGGAAAATTCTTAACTGACTTTTGGCAGTGAATGTGCCTTGATTTCAACTTCGAAACAAAAAATTTTTAGTTTCAATCTCTATTAATAATGAGCGTAAAACTTTTTAATATGTTTAAATAATAATTAAAACTTTAAAATTGCATTTATTTCAGACAATTATAAATATTATCATTATATTATCAAGTAAAAACGAGATTTTCAGCTAATTTTTCATTTTTTCCTCGATAACCATTTAGTGAATTTGAATAACCTTACGCTAAAGTGATTCTCCAGAGTTCAAGTTACTTATTATAAAAGTTTGAAATTTCTGGTAGCTTTTTTCTGTTAATAAAAATAAATTTAATCTGTTCGGTTAACGAATCTCCATAAAATGACGTGTAAAATTACAATTGTTTAAAATTTCAATAACTTTTTAACGGTTTAGTGAATCGCTTTGTAATTTTTACAGAAGTTTTAGAATTGAATGAGGAACGTTCTTCCAAATTTTTACTTATCTCGTAGCATTTTGACATACCTCACAAACATCGTTAATGCCCCAGAATGTTCAACTTTCTCTAAAGTCCGATGCTGACAACATGCCCAAATTCTGCTTGTCTGTTACACATCAATTGGTGTAATGTTGTTCCTTTTTCATTATTAGTGTCCGCTGCAATTCCTATCTGACATCTCTTTTCTATGTTACGATATTCCTTACAACGTCTTTCATGAGTAAAAGTAGGCGTTCTGTCAGCAACCGCTCTAGTCTAGTTAGTAAGTTGAAAGAATAAAGTAAATGCGACAATTTTATTGTGGACTATGCCAATTTTGAACGTCCAAACCAGATCCTAAACAACCAGAGGAAAATCTGCATTCTGCTCGTCTTCATTCCTATCTATGATTCTAATGTGTCTAACAAGCCCTTCATACATATCTCAGAATGTGTTCTACCATCCAATGTATCTGCTTTTCCTTATTGACGTTCATAGCACCCTTTGTTCTCTTACTCTTCTGAATACTCCTTCATCTTTAATTATTCCTATCCACGGTATTTTCATCATCCGCCTACAAATCCACATCTCAAATACATCTAACTTTTCTTTAGAATTTCTAATTAACCATTTGCAGACACAGATGCGATTTCAGTTTATTACAAGCCACTCCACCCTGCATGATATACGAAAATAAGAACTTGAATTATTACTTCAGTTCGCTAGCAGAATGTGAATTAACTCTCTTTAGACTTCTTGAAAAAAGCGATGGATTTATTACTATCAAAAAGATCAGGTAATACGGATAAATCATTAAATAATTTACATGAACGGTAAATTAGTAAGTTGCGTTGTCAAGATAAGTTACATAACGGTAGCCTTCTTGGGAATCACGTAATAATTACTTAGGAATTCGAATGATAATTAATTGTAATAGTGCCGGGCAATCAATAAAAGAACGAATTAGTTTAAACAATAAGAGGGGATCAATGTACAATCTAAATCATACAATCATAGAGCAAATACCCAAACACTTAGCAATTGACTTCTAACATTATTGAACCAGTCATTTCTGTATTATTGTACCTAACTTGAATGACGTTAGCCGCATGAAACGATATGGTTTAGTCCTATTTAAATCATACAAGATATAGGAGGATCAAATAATAGAACTATAAATAACTATTGATATAGGTAACGAAACTAACGCAGATTACAGCGAACGTATTAAAATTTTTCAATTCCTTGAAACTTCTAAATAAAAAACATCGTTTGCCATTGCTTGCAGAAACAGGATTTAAGAGGAGTAGGGGTTGGTCTAGATTAGATTCATCATAAGGTCGTCAGTCCTAAGACTGTTGCGACACGCACTTCCACTCTTTCCTATCCTGAGCTAATCTTCGCATTTCCCTAAAACTAAAACAACCCTCATAAGGATGAGAGTATAACTACTTACGAATAGTAATCTAATCTCGGTCTACCTCTACGCCTCCTAACTCCCGTTTCTGCCTCTAATATGTCTGACTAGACCTTCATTCCCGGGAAAGTGTCCTACTAATTAACTAAATCTCGTCTGTCTTATAGACTTCCATAGTCCCCTGTTCTTCTATTCTTCCTAATACCTCATCATTTATAACCTTCTCTATCCACGGTATCCTCATCATTCGGCTATAACACCACATTTCGAAAGCTTCTAAGCTTTTTTTTCGCAGCGCCCACTGTCCCTGTTTCGCACCCGTAGAGCGCCAAGCTCCGAACATACACCTTTAACAACCTTTTTCTTATTTCTAAATTAACCATTCGCGAACATAGAAGTGACTTCTTTTTATTGAAGGCGACTCGACCTTGGGCTATCCTCTGTTTTATATCCCTACTACTCCTTCCGTCCTGACTCATCTGACTTCCTAGTTACCTAAAATCGGCCATTTCTTCTCATTTTTCGTCTGCTATCTTTATATTCGCTCTTTCCCTACTTTTTCTTCCCTTGCATACCAGTATTTTTGTTTTACTTTTATTTATTTTCATACAGTACTGTTTTATCAGTACCGTATCCATTTTATTTAAAGCTATCTCTAGGTCCTCCTTGCTAGATGCTAATACTGCTATATTATCTGCAAATCTGAGCATACTAATCTTTTGCCCTTGTATATCTATCCCTATAGTTCTACTGTCTTTAATGATGTTGATCGCATCTTCGATGTATAGATTAAAAAGTAGCGGTGACAGTGTGCATCCCTGTCTGACTCCCTTCCTAATATTTACTACTCTATGTTGCAACTGCCTGTTCTTTATACAAACTATGTATCAATCTTCTATCTTTGTAACTCATCCCTACATTTTTAAATATATTTAACATCTTATACTTAACATACTTAAGAATGTGGAATGTTCTAGTTTTAGGGAAATGCGAAGATTTGCTCAGGATAGGAAAGAGTGGAGGTGCATGTCCAACCAGTCTTAGAATTGACGATCCTATGATGATGATGTTAATGGGTAAAATAAATTGATCGAATAATAAGGCGTTGAAGTTTTATAACTGCCTGTACTTTATTATTATCTAGATAAACTACTACCAAGCCTATCTATAATATATGGTTATAATGCAATGTAAATTACTTCTTCATAATTAAAATAATTATTTCAGCATATAATAAAATTAAGATCCTGTAGCTATTCGATTATAAAATAGTTAGTTGCTAAATTTAATTATTGTTAACAGGCAAAGGATGGGCACCAACGTTGGAAGGAGTGAAACAGTACTTCAGAGAACCAACACCTACACCAGACTATCTGATTACCGAAACTTCTACATCTGTTGATACTGCTTTCACCCTAAGGGACATAAATAGAAATAGGGATGTTGGCATGCAGGTAATACAATTTATTAATATAAATTGACTTGTATGGTTAGTATGTTAACCGAAAAGATACCATTTGATTATTTTCGTAGTAACTAATATTCGAGTTCAGAGTTAATTCTCTTGTACGTTTTATTTTGCTCACTAATATATAAACTTATTTGCATTTCCGGAAAATAGGGCGGGATCCTGTTAGTGGAAAAGAAGGGAATTTCTTACATTTTTTAGAAGAAAATAATTTAAGTACCTTCAAAAATGTAACTAATATGTCCGTTTTAACTGCAGCGGATTTAATCTCGTTTTATTCAAACTGGAAAAGTTACCAACGAATCTAGAATAACTGAAAAGTTGTATTAGAAACAAGAATTAGCAATTATATCTTTAAATTTCTCCTCGACATATTTTGAAATACTCGAAATAGACTAATGCAAAAAGTTTAACAGATCATAGAAAGATTCTATTACGTATATTTCAAATGCATGGAATATTGGTAGGATTGATAATGATTATGATATGCGATACCGGAGCTTATTCTCCTCAATGCCATACACTTCGTCGACCAAAATTGGTCTCACACGCGCATAACGTCATTTCGAGACCAGATTACAGAGCGAAGTTGCTAGAAAGTAAATAAGTTTTATACGATTATGTTGCGTGAGAACAGCGGTAAATATAAAGTAAAGTTATAAGGTAACATTATTATGAAAAATATGGAATGAATAGTTTCACATTCAATGTGTCATTTGTAAGAATTAAAAATCTGCAAGATAGTTCTCTATAGAAAGCAATCGAACCATTTTTGTATAGGAAAATCAAAAAACTCAAAAAATTAATATACTAGTTAATGCATAATTGCAGTACAAACAAAATTTAGAGGTATTTCGTAAATTGCTTGAACGATCCAATACTGAATTTACCAATCCGATTATGAAGGCAGTAATTATAAACTACTATTAAAAATCACTTCAAATTTCAAAATGGTTCTATTACTGTCTATAAACGACCGTTTTGCGGTTTTTCTATTCTCTACAAATGTGTCACGCCCAATGCTCTGACTATCAAGCTACGAAAGGTGACAACAGCAACAGTGACGAAACTGTACCTATTAAGTGTTAAGTCCGTCGAACTAATATATATATATATATATGCTAAATGAAACACTTTAAAATTCATAAGTAACTTGAGGTAATTTGCAGTGCATAAAAATTAAAAATGAATTTTCACATTAATATTTAATATTAACCGTTTAAGGGTAACGTGCTCGCTGTGAAATACTCAAGCTTTTATTTTCTCTCGAGTTACCTATACAGCTATAGATTATGATGACTAATAGAAAGAAAGACTCATCACTGAACAGAATTTGTTCAATAAATTTATCATTTCTGCTCGTCTCTCTCATCATTCCTTCTCAAAGCTCTCCGCCTTATGTGATCCTCCGGGAAAATTTCTTTAGTAGATATCTAGCCAGCAAGTTCCAGCATTTGCACTTGTTATGTTTCAAAATATTCCTAGCTGTTTGAGGCTTAATTCAAGTTTGTCAGAAATTTGAACACAGTTTTCGAAAGTTAACTTCCGTTAAACTACAAACAAGGTTTCGTAGTGTTCCCTTTCTACCTGTAATGGACGAACAAGTTGCTTCTCGTCTATTTGAGTACATTTTTACAGTTTTCTAACCATTCGAACTTACAAATGATTTCCAAATCCAAGTACACCATCGATAAACTTACCAGAGTACTACTATTTAATAAATTCTCTTTTTTGTCGATTGTTCGAACATACATTTTTAAAAATTACATACGTTTGAAAAGCTACAAGAATTAAGTTTTTATATACCTAGAATCTTTCACGTTTATAGTCGAGCACCAACAGTATAATATAACCAAACTACAGTTCCACAGTAATAATGTATACCGCTGATTCAGCCTTTGAACTTTATACCGTGTAAATAGTTGTACTATAAAAAGTTGTATATACTAAGAATAAATCATTCTTAAAAGATAGATTCAAGACTCTTTATTACCCTTTCGAGGTTTTGTAAATGTACCAACGAACGCACAACTAAAATCCCCAGATCGACTATCGGCTCTTGATACAGCCACTGACTGAGCCACTCTATCAACCTTATACGCTGCTATTTAATAAAATAACGGACATATTAGTAAATTATCAATCGCTTTGAATTAACAAGCTTCTCAATGATCCACGAAACTTTTATTATCATTTTATCATCATCGTCATAAGGTCGCCAGTCCTAAGAATGGTTGTACACGCATCTCCATTCCTTCCTATTCTAAGCTAGTCTTCGTATTTCCCTAAAACTAGAACATCCCACATCCTTAACTATTTGCAAACAGTAACCTAATCTAGGTGTACCTCTACTTCTCTTAACTTCTGTTTCTACCTCTAATATGCCTCTGACTGGACCTTCATGCCTGAGGTGTCCTACCTACCTATCTTGCCTATTTTTTATTGACTTCCATAGAGTCCTCTGTTCTCCTATTCTTCACCTCGTCATTTCTAACCTTCTCTATCCACGGTATCCTCATCATTCGCCGGTAACATCACATTTCGAACGCTTCTAACTTTTTCTTTTCCGCTGCGCCCACTGTCCATGTTTCGCACCCTTCCAGTGCTGCGTTCCAAATATACTTTTAACAATCTTTTTCGAATTCTAAATTAACCATTCCCGAGCATAGAAGCGACTTCTTTTTATTGAAGGCGACTCGACCCTGCGTTATCCTCTGCTTTATATCCATACTACTACTTCCGTCCTGACTTATCTAACTGATACTTCCTAGATACCTAAAATCAGCCACTTCGTCTCCTATCTTAACATTCGCTTTTTCTCTACTTTTGCTTCCTTTGCATACTAGTATTTTTGTTCTACCTTTATTTATTTTCATACAATAGTGTTTTGTCAATACTGCTTCTGTTTTATTTAAAGCTATCTCTGACTCCTTCTTGTTAGATGATAATACTGCTATATCATCTGCAAATCTAAGCATACCAATCTTTTGTCCCTCTATCCCTACAGCTGTACTGTCTTTAATGATTTTAATCATGTCTTCGATGTATAGATTAAAGAGTAGCGGTAACAGTGTGCATCCTTGTCTGATTCCCTTCCTAATATTTACTTCTCTACGTTACCGTCCCAGCTCTATAACTGCCTATTGTTATTTATTTCTAAATCTACAAATCCTATGTACGCGCTCTTCCCTTTCTTTATAGTTTTCTATATTGTTACCCGTAAAGCTAGAATGGCCTCCCGCGTTCCTCTATTTCTTCTAAACCCAAATTGATCTTCCCCTACTAGTGTTTCCGCTTTTTTCTCCATTCTTTTCTGTACAATTCTAGTTATTATTTTTGAGGCATGGGAATTGGGATAATTGTTCTATATTTCTCGCACCTATTCGCGTCTCTCTTTTTTGGTATGGTTACTGCCACGTTCCGTTATAATCTTCCGGGACTCTCCCCGTCTCGTAAATGCAACCAACTGTAGCTTGAACATACGATGTCCTGCAAATTTCCGCTTGTATTCCATCTATACCTGGTGCCTTATTATTCTTTAAGTTTTTTGATGCTACATGGAGTTCTTCCCTCGTAATTGGATAACATAGTTCATCTGTATCCACACTATTTTTCTTTTCTAATATATCTCCTAATTAATGGGCTGCATATAGGTTCTCTGAGTTTTATTTCCACCTGGTCTGCCTTTGTCTCATTTTCTATCAAAATCACCCCTACCTCGTTTCTTATATTATTGCTACTGTACCCTACATCTCTAAAGTTCCTTTTAATTATATTATAAGCCTCATCCGTTTTACCTACTTCATACTTTTCTTCTACTTCTTTACACCTCATATGAATCCACTGTTCCTTAGTTACCCTACACTTCCTAATTATTTCCCACCTTATCGCCTTATATCTTTTTAACCCTCTTCGTCTGTCCTCTTTTTGTATTTCCGCCTCTCTTCTATCAATTCATTATCATTATAATGCATCAAATAAAGTATACCTGTTAGGTGGCGTGTAATTTTTTATGAATTATTATAGTTACTAATAGACGACTGTTTTTTACGTTCGAAATATTCAAATTATTGATTCGAACTTTTTGTTCATTTGTACTGTTGGCATGCAGGTAATACAATTTATTAATATAAATTGACTTGTATGGTTAGTATGTTAACCGAAAAGATACCATTTGATTATTTTCGTAGTAACTAATATTCGAGTTCAGAGTTAATTCTCTTGTACGTTTTATTTTGCTCACTAATATATAANTGTCTTATGAAAATAACTAATGTCTAGTTACTCTCAGCGAGTCTACAAAATAACTATTCTATCAAACTTAAAATTTTGTACACTAGATTCCGAAATCGACAAATTATCCCTCCCAATAACGAGGTTATTGATGGTAATACCAATGCACAATATACTAACCATGGGATAAACCCTCATTTGTGCTTCTGCGAATTTGCCTACGTGACCGTAAATTTCGAAAATATTTCTAAGTCCAATAACAACAAAATTTACACTAAAGGTATAATAAAATATGAAAATGTTTATGCCAAAAAGTCCCTGCGTCGGCATATCACAAATAAGGTTCCTTAACAACAACACTTGCAATAAGCCCCGTTTTTTTACAGATAAAAAACAGAACATCAGTCGACGCAACGACTAGAACTGATGAAAACGTCAAAGAAAATGAGGTTGGCACCGGTTTAAATCACTACAAAAGAAAACATTCCCACGATCAAAGCAAATGCTCCATGGAGGCATATGAAATAATGAAGGTGAGCCGCGATTAACAACTGTTTCACTTTACACGTTTCACGACCACTTTTTTCTTTTCCAGGACAATCTTCTCCTTTATAACCACGCAAGGTTGATGTCACAAAATAATCACAGCAAGGACTATCTCGTATCTATAATGTTTTCACATTACGACCAAAACAATAACGGAATTCTCGAAAAATCTGAGCTTGAAAAGGTAAACAGTTTTTTACTATTGCTCTTGTCTAAGTAGAAAGGTTTATTTTCAAAGTGTTTCGTAATAAAAGAAATTATGAGTGCTGTCAACACAGGGCAAAGTAGTATTACGTACTTAGTATCAGCAATTTCTTGTGCTAAAGTGTACGATGTGTTGCATACCTATTTACAAACAATTTTTAACACAAAGAAAGCGATTAAACAAATTGTTCATAAAATTGAATTTCGACCACTCGAAGCAATGGTGCTAACAGTGACTGATAGGGAGAAGAACTTGTCATATTTAATGATATTAATAAAAGCCAAAACGAGTTCGTATTTTGTATGAGAGAACTGTAGGTCAAAAAGTATACCTACCTGTGTATTAGTGCTTAGGAAACTTACATTTCTTTGTTTCTTTTGTGTACTCACTTGCTGAGGTGTAATTTAAATATGACTACATACTATCATCGATGAACAAATGTAATTAATTCATTTATACCGTGATAGGCATCTAATCATTATGCGTAGTAGTGGTAGTTTTGTTGATGTTCATTTTAACCGATCGACAAGCGGTATTGTTTACATTCTCCATCGCTGCAGCTGAGCATAGAAGTGATTTCTTTTTATTAAAGGCGATACGACCCTGTGCTATCCTCTGCTTTATACCCGTACTACTCCTTCCGTCCTGACTTATCTGACTTCATAGATATCAAAAATCAGCCACTTCTTCTAATTTTTCGTCTCCTATCTTTATATTCGCTCTATAACTGCCTGTTCTTTATACAAACTAAGTATCACTCTTCTAATTTTGTAACTCATCCGTACATTTTTAAGTATATGTAACATCTTGTTCCATTTAACATTGTCAAAAGCTTTTTCTAAATCTACAAATCTTATTTACGAACTCCTTCTTTTTTCTATAGTTTTCTCCATTGTTACACGTAAAGCAAGAATGGCCTCCCGCGTTCCTCTATTTCTTCTAAACGCAAATTGATCTTTCCCTAATAGTTCATTGGTCCTTTTTTTCATCCTTCTCTGTACAATTATAGTTAAGATTTTTGACGCATGGGAAGTTAAGCTAATTGTTCTAAATGTCTCGCACCTATCCGCGTCTCTCTTTTTAGGCATGGTTACTACCACGTTCCGTTTATAATCCTCTGGAACTTTCCCCTTCTCGTTAATGTGACTGACTAGCTTAAACATACGATCTCTAACCTCTTGTCCTGCATGTTTTAGAATTTCCCCCTGTATCCCACCTATCCCTGGCGCCTTATTATTCTTTAAGATTTCTAATGGTACATCGAACTCTTCTCTGTAACTTACCTCGTCTATCTCCACACTATCTTTCTTCTCTAATATATCTCCTAACTCAGAGCCTGCGTATAGGTTCTCTAAATATTCTTTCTTTATTATTCTTTTTCTCATTTTCTACCATAATAACCCCTGCCTAGTTTCTTATATTATTACTTCTGTATCCTACATCTCTAAAATTCTTTTTAATTATATTATACGCCTCATCGGTTTTACCTACTTCAAACTTTTCTTCTACTTCTTTACACATCCTATCAATCCGTTGTTCCTTAGCTGCCTTCCTAATTATATCCCACTTTATAGCCTTATATCTTTTTTGCCTTTCTTCGTTTGTCCTGTTTTTGTATTTCCGCCTTTCTTCTATTAATCCTAAAATCTCATTTGTTATCCAGGGTTTCCTACTTTCGTTTCGTTTAAGAACTAGTATATTTGTAACTGCTAACTTTAGGCATGTTTTAATGCAGTTCCATTCTGTCTCTTGTTTCTCCCGCCGCCTTTAATATTTCATCTGTCCTTTTACCTAGCCTATCACGCGTTTCGTTACATTTTAGCTTTTCTAAGTCAAGACGTCTCCTACCTTTCCTCTTTTTCAGAATTTTCAATTTAAGATTGGTTTTCATAACTACTAAGTTATGATCGCTGTCTATTTCTGCTCCTGAATAACTCCTACATTGCTTTAAATCTTTGCCCAACAAATATGTAATCTAACTAATATCTCCCTAAATCACCTGGCATCTTCCACGTATAGCGCCTCCTAACGTGATGGTTGAATAAAGTATTCGCGACGGTTAAGTTATGTTTATCACAAAATTCTATCTCCCCTATCATTTCTATTGCCTAGTCCAAAAGAACCTGCTATTGCATCCACATTACCCTCACATATTACTGCGTTGAAGTCTCCTACAGCTATTAAGTCTTCCTGCCCTTTCACTAAACTTAACACGTCGTCTATATCTGCATTAACCGCTTTAACGTCTTCATCACTGTAAGATAATGTAGGCATGTAGACCTGCACTAATAACGTTTTTACCGGCTTTGAGTTTAATTTAACCATAATTATATCCTATCGCTTTTTTGTATATAACTTTCTACACTCTGGCCTACTTTTCTACGCATTACAATTCTTACCCCCGAATTACCTTTCACCGATCATGTATGTGTTCTAAAGTCTCCACTCCAGAAGTCTCCAGCTTCGGGTCAACGGACTTCACTAATGCCTACTATACCTAATTCTAATCCACTCATCTCTACTTATAAATTTTCCAATTTTCCTACTTGCCTCATTGTCCTAACATTCCACGCTCCAACTCGTGAAATATTGCATCTAATCCTATTGCACTTATTGATGACATCCCCCGAGGTAGTCCCCGCCCAGACATCCGAATAGGGGACTAGTTTACGTCCGGAGTGCTTTACCCCAGAGGACGTCATCATTTAATTTATCATTTGTACGTTGTATTCAGGATCATAATGTGGTGGTTTCCCGTTGCCTTCCACATCGCAGTATTGTGCATCAGAGTGCCATACCGATCCTCGTGATCTCGGTCACCTTGAGTACTGAAAGAGCTGCTGCCCTCTTTCAGGGACTTGTCTTAGTCTGGATTCTCTTAAAGAACCCTCCCCCATTATGGTTGAACCTATGGACCGACTTCCTAAATCATCGAAACTAGCAAGCCGATCCATCCACTCTAGTTCAAGGTTCAAGTCCCGTTGGGTCGGGTAGTAGAGACGCATTCAAATAATTAAACAAATACATAATTAAACGACTTTCCAGACTGCATATGTCTTTCTTATTATGTAGAAAACTATTTATTAGCAAAAAATATAAATTCGTGTAATTTGATTCAACTTTTATAAAATAAAGTGATTTGCTATTTACTAAATTATTTATTCTATAGAAGAATTCTGAATAATGGAATACTCTCCATTCATTGCGCTTTGGATTGATCATGTCATACTTTTATCAGTACCTAACAAAAATGTTGGAGACATTCCATCGCTTTTTTGAGCAATTACAATGCCTTCAACGCGGTAGCATAAAAGCTAAAAATTAAAGAAAAAAATTGTAAGCAGTGTCCTTTTTTCTTTTCCCTTTTGAGAACTAATCTAAACAAAAGAGAACTGGTTTGGAACATTTTTATGAAACGTTAAATAGTCCAATGTAGCTTATTCGCAAATTAACAGCTTGAAAAATAAAACGATTTAAAGCTTGAAGTTCAAATCGCCCGTTTTCCGACTATGAGTTATATGTCTAAGTAAATTACCAATTTATAGTCCACGGAACAGCACCGTCCTTTTCAAATTATTAACACTCGTCCGAAACCTCGAGAGTAATTTAATTTTAACGCAGTGAAAAAACTCTGGGGCATATGGGCTGTTTTCAATCTCGAAACCGGAATTCACGTCAGTTTAATGGTGTTAGGTATTAAAAACGTACAATCAACCGTTTGTATTTTACTTTAGTAATTCAATATGAAAACTAATTAAAAAGTTAGCGTATAAAAATTTTGGGTTATGTGGCAAAACCTCCCCCTAACATGTCAAATTAACGAAAGTACAAAAATTTATGAACTATCTGATATTCACGCAATTTAAAAATAAATATTTCTACAATCATAAAAATAAAAATAAAAGGTATCTGCCGTTAGCTCTTGGTACGGGTACTTTGTCTTTTGCGATTCTTTCTGAATAAATTTGAATTAAGTTTGTTCAACACTAATAACCCCTTATTAAAATATGTATTAAATTGGAGAAAAACTAAAACTTTCTAGTTTTAAATATTTCTATCAACAAAAACAATAAATTAGAATTTAATATTTATAGAAAAGACACGTTTACAGGTTGTATCATTTCTTCTGATCCTAATCATCCCTTTAACATAAAATTAGCAGCATTCTATTCCATGATAAATAGAACTGAATACTTTTATCGGAAAAAAATATATAACAAAAAAGTAAATTTGATAACATTAACAGCAGAAAATATTGGCTACAACAGAAATAGATAGTAAGTTACTAAAGAAAAAACAAAAATCTAATAACATCATTTACCCAGGTAATTCCAATTCCAATAATAACGTTTGGAGAAAATTACTATGTTTAGGTAAGATAAGCGAAATGGTTAGTAAAACCTTACATCAATACAATATTAGGGTAGCTTACTTCAATAACAAAAATCTAAGTGGAAATAATAATATTCTACAAATCAAGACTCTTTATTACCCTTTCGAGGTTTTGTANGGGTAAATAATCAATTGACAAGCAGAAAAGTATAAAAGAAAACCAGGAATCTATGAGATCAAATGTTCAAACTGTAACATTATCTGTAAAAGTAAGGCAAATTGTGCACCGAACATAGAAATTAGGTATTTCATTGCCGATATTTTATCTTTTCATTTCTTAAACAAACTCAAAATCTTTTGAACACAGCGTAACACCCCTGAAACTAAATTTCATTTATTGGACGTATATCACTGTACATTTATATGAAAAGCTGACTGATAAGGTATTTGTAGGACTTTTGCTATGCCACGTCGTAAAAGATGATGCCTATGTTCGGTTCTCAATCCATCGCTGTGTATAGGAAAATCAAAAAGAAATATTGGAGTAAGATTTCAAAAACACAAAAATTATGCAAAATACAGATAAAGTATATCAGGGTTAACAACACATTTAATTGATGACAAGGTATTTGTAGGACTTTTGCTAT